CTTGGCAGTCCAGTCCAAAACCCGGTGCCCAGAGCTTTCCTTGTCCACCCACGATGACTACTTTGTATTCTGCTACCAAACAAATGACAATATGAAGTCTAGAAGGAAGCATCTAACTGGAGGTCCATCAGCATCTGAGGGGGAAAAAATAAATAAAGATCTATTAAAATACCAGAGGGAGGAAGAGATTTATGAATGCAGAGGAACAGAAAGGGCTTCTCAACTTGAGATTCCCCTAAGCATTGTCACAACAACAGCAATCATTTAAAAAAATGCAGGCTGCAGCCAAATAAAGACCTTTAAAGAAAACCTTTCAAGCTAGCGCCTGAATCTCCATGTTTATTCAGCCAGTAACAAAAACACTATCTGCTTGCAGGGAAAAGGGGGAAGAGTGATTAATTATTATGAGCTTTAGGAAAAAACTTCATAATTTGTTAACAAACAAAGGGCTGAACAATACAAGGCAAGTAGAGGAAGAAACATTTAAACAACTTCTCAATCATTATGTTGCAAGTTATCACATGTCATTCTCATATATGCATTGTATGATCTTCTGTTGCATTTTAATGGAAATCCCCATATACGTTGTACACCTTAGGTATAGTGTAAGACCTCACTGAAATGGATTAGAACAGACTTCTTCAATCTCATTCTTTGGCATGGCTTTGCTTACTAGATATTCTGGGAAATGTGTCCCAACTGGTTTAGCTAGGTACTGCTTATGTTTGGATAAGGCACCGAAACATACGCAAGAAGAGCTTGTATGTTTAATAAATACAGCAACATATTGATTTATGCAACATCTATATTTGCAAAAGCAATCCTTGGGCAGTGAAACCTGCAGTTCTATCGTTTTGATAATGGCATGGAGCTAGTCATGTTATCTTCTAAAGGAGGACTTTAACAAAATTATACTCCGGACAGCACCAGTTTTACAATGTTTTCCTTTCTTTCTGATCATTGCATTCTTTTCTCTCTAGATAATAATCAAATAGAAAAGAGCATCACAGCCGTGCAAATTCTATTTAACTTCTCTTTTTGATGTTTGGGAAATGCTATGTAAGCATAACTTGTGCACCATACAGGTCAAATGGGGAACCCCCAACTGTTGATAGCAATATGGGAAGTAGTTATGTAATAGTAGTAGACCTAACAGGCAACTTTTCCAGAATATCACAAGCTTTTTGTCTGAACTGTACCACAAGTCCAAGCAGCTCAACTCTATGCAGAGATTGTTGGTAGAGTTTTCCAGCTTTATAATAGCGGGAGATTTCAACCTCATTTTTTGGCTGTGAAGAATGAAGCAGTGCAGGAGGAGTTCATGGCCACTATGGACCTGATCCAGATTATTTATTTTTGTTAACTGAAGTTATACACTGCCCATTTTACTACTGAACAGACTCTGGGAGGTTTACATAAAAATTATTGAGGGTCAAACACTTGTTGTGAGTTATACAGTGGATCTGTTTTTTGTCTTGTTGCTTTGGTGATGTGATCAGGATTTGAGGGATGCTAACATCTATCCCAAACAACTCTCTGATTACTACAATTCTTGCTAAGCCTTGTATTCTTTCCCTGTTTCTATTAAAATCTGCATGACGCAGTTGAGAGAGGGTTAGGGTTGTAATGTAATGTAAAAATGTACAATACATTTGTATGAATTATGTCATATTTCTGAAATTCTAATCCTGTATTAATCTGCAAGAGTTACATGGCAAACAGATGGACATGCACATTTACATAAGAAAATTAGTTTTTCAAAGGCAGCTACTGAAGAATAAAGTAACTAACTTTTTGGAAATAACTCTGAGTTATTTAAGAAAACAATTCTTAAGGGAATTGGATTGCTGGATTGCCCTGTGATGTTACTACTTTGGTAATATCCTATAATATAATAACATAAACTTCTGGATAGTCACTGTGAAAGCAGGAGGGATTAGTAACCTTTGATACAGTATTTTTTATGTTTGCATTGCTGAAGAAATATTTAGATTGTTTTGATCAGTCCACTACAAAAGATCTAGAGTAAAACACAACACCAAGACATGAAGAAGCTGAGATAACTACTATTAAGTGAACGCCAAGGGGATTCCAGTTCTTTTGGTAAATATGGTGTGAGTGTGGGGGTGTCTATGTGTACATAGACAACCTTGGGAAAGAAATGATGTATAAAAAAATTTACAAACAAAGGTTATATCTTACAGGTTATATCTAAACAGGTAGCATAGTAAGCCAATAGAATGGATTTCAGGCTACAAGAGTGGAAGAAACCCAGAAGAATAGCATCTTCCTCCTAAAACAGCTTGTAGTATACTAGGTCAAAAGATTCTAATTTGGATTTTGGTACTAGAGAAGTTTACCAAATGGACTCTTGCAAAAAAAAAAGTAGCTATCCTCCATTCATTTATCTGTCATATATTTCTGTATAACACCTCTTTTAGTGTCTCCTTTTAATAGGCTATTTTAATACTATTTTAATTTTGTTTGTCTTTGAATGGTTCTGCCAAGACAATACCCTGAGAGATGTAAAGTAATTCAAGAATCTTAGAATAAAGATAACTAAAAACTATCAAATCCCTGGTAGGACGTTTCATGGTCCAGTGGCCATAAGGCATGGCAAATCTAAATTCAGCACAATTTCAGTGTCTATGTAGCCCAGCTTGCTACCCTTAGTTTGGAGCAGTATATAGATATAAGTCCAAGGTAGCAAAAGTAAATAAATATGTAGATTATCTCTGGTGTATGTATATGTTTATGAGAGTATGCACATTTTGTATGTATGCACACACATATAGTACTACCAAATACTATCAAATACCTTAATTTAGAGATACTTTAAAATGGATTGAAATTACTCAAACATAATTTCATACATAATTTCAATAAAACACATATAGCAGAAGTTTTCATAATGTCTTGATTCATGGTGCCCTGAATGTCTCAGGAATTTTTTTCACCCCCTAGGCCAAAACTATGCACTACCTAAAGCTAGTAGTTCACATGAGGTAAAATGTAAAATTCGCTATGACATCAGTGTCAGTTTGCTGCAGCCCCCTGGGGTGCCCCCCAGCACATACTTTGGGAATCACAGATTTAAAGTGATATTAAATTCAACCTTTAATATTGTTTTGGTGCCTTTTGAAGCTTTTCTTTTAGATAAAGCAGTTTTTCTTCAGAGAAAAGTGCAGTAAGAGGCGAGATTCTGCATGTCTTCAGAATTTGCAGGATGGATTCAGAAATATAACCAGTTGTGGGGTCCTTGGTGCTCTCTGACCTTGGTTTGTTTTCTTGCAGACATTTCTTGCAAACTAGGTAACATTTTCAGTGCTAGTCAAGTTGTGTACTGTGGGAACCAGGTGGAGAACCAAATGAGCTTTGATGATATAAAGCCTGAATTAAAGTACAGATAGTACTTTTTATCTGAACCCTCCTCAGACTGAGCACACACACACACACACACACACACACTAATACATACTCTTCTGGTTAGTTTAAACTGAGAAATAACTGCTGTACAAGGGTTTAAATGGATTTGAACTTATATCCACTGCATTTTAAATGTATATGCAGCGAGACTACAACTTGGTCTAGTTTCCCCAAATCTAGCACTCCCAGATGCATTGGCATGGCAACTTCCAGAAGACTTATCACATCAGAAGTCTGAAAACACCTAGAGGTACCCATTTCAGGGAAACTCGTGTAAGCCACATTCCCACATAACCCAATGCTAGGAAAAATCCAGGATATTCGTCCCATCAATAGAGCCTACCACAATTGTGGTCTGTGCTTGCAAAGATGTTATGCACAAATCTGCTCAGATGTTATATGAGGGTATAGCTGACTTCAGCAGTAGTCAAAAACACCGTTTTGTCATTAGTACTTTGGACTATCTGATGACAGCCAAGAAAATATTGCTGACTGAGACAACTGAGAAAGACAGTCAGGGATATCTTTAGAACTCTTAAAGGACGAAGAGTAGGGAGAGAGAAGGGCTGGAAGGCAGTGACACTCAAGTGAGACCAAAAGACAGAGACAATCAGAATCATGATTAATATCCTTGGTTAGTGCAGATTTCATAGCAGCTGAAAGCTCTGCAGGCTGAGCTATATCTACTAATGTTAATAAAAACTAATGGTGTATGAAAAAACCACAGGCAAAAGTCTCCAAGGAAGAGAAAGAGGTGCATTAACAGCATAAAGGAGTAAAGGGGAGGGGGAGGATCACAAATTAGTTTAAGCTAATTTTATTTAAGGGGAAAAAAAGATTATTGAAAGTGACATTGTTCCTGAAGTGTAAATGCAGTTCTTCACAGTATGCCTGCTGGTCTTGTGAAAGAGATTGCTAGCAAAGTCCCCTATGACTCCTGAAGTTGCAAACTCTGGACAAGGGTATGCATTTATATACACACTGCTATTCGGCAGGTTAAGATCAAGCTTGTAACTAGGCAGCACATTGCCTTTAACCAAGGAAGCTTCAGAATGCAAACTCCCCAAATACATTAAGCTTCCTTAGAAACCATTACACACTATGCGTGATATAAATATGGCAATGTTTGCCGCCCTAAGGCCATGGAGTGGGGGGAGAGGGTGTGAGGGCAGAAAACAGGAAAGGTTCAGGGTTGCACACGAGAAATTTACTGCCGGAATGAAATGCATTAAAATATAATAGGATGCGTATGTTTGAGTCTTCACAAATTATTTTACAATTCCCACCCTTCTGCTATAAAAGTATCTTCCACAAGGTCTGTAAATCTGTGGTTAGATACTAATCTGTGGAAAATTACCAAACAAGTGTGTCTCATGCACTGTTTGCTTCTCTTTAACAACTCAAATAACTTACATAGGTTCGTGAGAACTTTTCAAACAAATGCATAAGGACAGAGAGATAGGGATGAGATTTCAACTTTTGGAGCATCTTAAGACATTTGTCTAAAAAGTAAAGAGATAGGCCAATTTAGAGTTCCTGATTATACAACCTCCACACCATTCTGTACCTAACACACTGTATAAAAGCCACAAGAATGAAATTGCTATCACTTTTTTACTTGGTGTTATTAATATCCCTTTGTTTTCTAACTGCTCGGAAGACATCTGTCTTTTAGATAGTGTGTAAATTAAACAGCCACTTGGATTTTATAGAAGGCTCACCAGCCATTTAAGGAGGAACAAAATGAATGTGTTGCTCTACTGTAAAACTTATAATAGTTTATGATTAGATGGCAGGGCACAGGTGTCAACAGAACATTAGGGACTGGTATTATTTTTTTAATCAAATTCGACTCAGCTGTAGTGAAGAACAAGAATATCACCCACGTGGTATTCCTGTCATGATGGCACTCTGGCTTGGAAGTTGTAGATACAATACTTCAATTGTTTTATCCCTACTTGAAGTTCTAAATGTTTGTCCCATGGACTGTATTAAGCTCTACTTCCACTTTTCATTTGAATCTTGTGGAAATGAAATCTGATGGGATAACCGCAAATGCTATGAGAGAGAGGGGGGAGAAAAATTGGTCTGGCATCAGCTTTTCTGCTCTTCCAACAGCAGCCAAAAAAATTTTTTGGTTTTGGCTTTCAACAGGTAGTTACCAGGTTTTTCATTTGCTTTGCTAAAGTGGCATTTTTTAAACCATATCATTCTCCTTTTATTATTATTCACTTATGCTTTATCATTCGTATTAAAGTGTGCCACAGTCATTTGAGGGGGGGAGGGCTAAACATTTCTTAATATATTTTGAAAACATTTTTTTTTTTAAGAAAGCAAGACATTTTCGATTCCCTGTATAATTCTACCCTTCATTCAGTAGATATTTTTATGGTTGCGATGGTTCAGCACCCATAATAAATATGAGCTTGTCCGACGGAAAGCTGACAGCCAGGGTTCAAGACCCAAGCACCACATGATGGGGTGAGCTCTCGTTACCCGCCCCAGCTCTGGCCCACCTAGCAGTTTGAAAGCATGGTGGTCTGCCCACTGCCAGGAGTTCAATCCTAACCGGCTCAATGTTGACTCTGCCTTTCATCTCCGAGTTCAGTAAAATGAGCACCCAGATTGTTGGGGGATAATATGCTGACTTTATAAACTGCTTAGAGCAGGGCTGTCAAACTCGTGGCACATGCTGGCCACACCCTCACCCGGTTTAGCGAAGGGAGGAAATCCCGATACATCATGTGATGCCACCGTGACGACTTTTGAGTTTGACACCCCTGGCTGAGAGAGTGCTGCAAGTACTATAAAGCGCTGTATAAGTCTAAGTGCTATTGTTATTGCTAAATGCAAAAAGATGAAGAGGTACCACCATTCTGTGCACCTCGATGTATAGTCATGCTGACCACATGACCATGGAAATGTCTGCAGACAACGCTGGCTCACTCAGCTAAGAAACAATGATGAGCACCATCCCCTGGATTAAGACCTGACTGGACAGGGATCTTTACCTTTAAATATTTTATGGGCAAAAGGGAAAAGTTTCCTGCAATCCTCCTTGCCTTTCTCGGTCAACATTCCAATTTTAGTATTCTCTTCACAGACACTCTGCCCGATGAAGCAATTTCAGTTAAAATAGATTACTTTACAAAAAAACTCTTCTTACCAATCTAGCATCAGTCTTCCCAAGTAGACCAGGCAAGAAACAGAACCAGATGAGCTAATTCTACTTTATTGTAAGGCTTCTTTAATAGAGTCTTGCAAATCTGACAATACAAATCTCCTGCCATCTCTTATACTGTCTGGGAATTTAGGGAGGATCCTTTCCAAGTTTCGTTCTCTGCCCATTAGGCAGCTGCAGGCTATGCCCTCTCTTATCTGATCTTTCTCTAGGCAGCAACTCTTCACATACACCCAAACACAAACACACAGATCGCCCAAAGTCATTCTCACATACCATTTCACAGAGATTGCCAGATAACCAAGCTGAAATCATATAAAATCAGTATATATTAAGCTGGCCAACTTATTACAGAAATTAATTATAGCTGTTCCATGCAATGGCAAGACGTATACTATTATAAAATGCAAAGACATATAAACATATTGTGTTATTACATATTAGAAAAGCAAAATTTCCTGTTCATCTAAGGAAAAGCTCCTGCATGGGGCTTTCCAAGTCTTATAAAGTTGAACCAAGTAACTTTTCAAGTTGCTGTTGCCCCAGAAAAAAATTGCATTGATAATTTTGCAATATGGAGTTGGAGGCAGGAGTTGGAGGCACTGTCTCATCTAGCCTTCTCCTGTCCCAGAAACCAAAATGCCACGACATCATGGTGCTTCTCCCAGTAGTTCCTGGCTACTTTGAGGAGACATTATGCCTTTCCCTCAAAAAGCAGATGAGTGAATTGAAGGTTGAAGGTGGAAGACGTGTTATCATGCTGATGGTGGACATCTGGAGATGTTCATATCACTGCAGAAACTGTGAGGTGGTAGGACAAACTTCATGTATAGAAATGTCCAAAAAATGTCCTTTACTTGTCTGCTATTCTGTTAATTTTTCCATGAGCACGGTTGCTAAAATGACTCTATCATGATTTGTTAAGGAAATGATTTGATATTATAGTTAGGGTTGAGACCAGCACAGTGGAACCAGTGATTCCCAAATTAGAGAGAACTATTATGTAAACAATCTCAGATGCCTCATAAGGCTGTCAAGGGACCAGCCAGGTTTTTGTTAACTCAAAAGGAAGGAAAGAAAATGTCTAGCGCTTACATTCTGCCTCAGAGACAGCTAGAAAAGTTCTGTCTTCTTTGTGCCACTGTCAAATGTTGAGTCACTCTTGCCTGCAATAAGGACTTTAGTCTAGCCAAGTCATGTCTCGAAAGAGATTTCAATAGACAAACTAGAGTAATGAAATGTCTGCAAGAAAACAACCAAGCTCAGAGAGCATCAAGGCCCCTTCCAGGACCATCTCCGGTGGCCTAGAGGTGGAGCTCTTGCCTCACAATCAGGAGGCTGTGAGTTCGATCCTAGGTAGAGGCTAATAGTTGGAATAGACTCTCCTGCTCGAGCAGGAGGTTGGACTAGATGACCTTCAAGGTCCCTTCCAACTCTGTTATTCTAAGTCATGTCTGAAACTATTCAATTTCAGGTTACGCCAAATGTGAGTGTCTGGAGAATTGTGATTAATGAGCCAGACACTTTCTATTATCATTACTATTACAACTAGTAGTAGCACCACCACTACTATTACCGCTCTTACCATACATTAAACAGATCTCTGAAATAAGGCTCCTAGCTTTTGTGTATGTAAAATGTTTGTTTTAGCACATTCCTGCGACTAACTTTTTATTTGCTGAGAGTCTTCTGATAACTCCCTATTTAGGCTGGCAGATCTGAGCTATAAAAATCCAAGTGGTCATTAGATAGAATTTTTTAAGTAGATGTCTATATTTTTTTTGCTGTCATCTAATGGTGTCCCAGATTTTTGCAGCATAGAATTTATGGTCCCATTTAGCTAGCAGAATGACACATTAGGGAAGGCTAAGATAACATGCCTTAAAACATATTAAAACTTTGGTTTAAAAATTGATATGAAGGAGAATAGAGTACCATATTTTTTAGTTCTATTTGCAACAGGAGAAGGAGTTGGCCCCTGCCAAGTTCAAATGCATTTATTCATTCAGTCATTCATTCATTCAATCAATACATATGGCCGTTCATTTCAGCAAATGACTCTGGGCAACGAACAATCTTAAGATAAATTAAAACAGATTTCCATCATACTATACAAGAATTAAAATGCAACAGCGGTCAAGGAGGATGTGACAATCCTTGGTTGTCAACCCACCAGAAAATGGGACTCTTCACACACTTGGAGCCACAAGTACATATCCAGACCTTTAAAGGGCCCTATGAAAGGCCAGCAGGCTTCAAGCCACCCTATTGTCTGGAGGGGGATGATCCATAGGGCAATGGCAGAAAAGGCAAGACTCCTGCGCCCCACTGTCACTCCATGGCCAATGGAACATAGAACATGCCTGCCAGATGTGATTGGAGAAGTAGAAACAACTGGGAAAAGGTAATTTCTTGGATAACTGGGTCACAAAACATGAAGAGCTTTAAAGGTGGCAACCAGCACCTTAAATCCCATCTTAGAAGCATGCTGGCAACTAATGTACTGTAGTTCATGGAATCATAGTGTTAAATGTGCCAAATAACCAGCACCATTTATTAGTTGTTCAGCTGTGTTCTGTACCAGTTGAAGCTTCCGAATGCTCTTCAAGGGCAGCCTCACGTAGGGCGCATTGCAGTAATCCAAATTTATCTCCTATATCTCAAAAAGCAAAAACGGGAAACCAGCAAAACCAAAAAAAAACCAATAAAGAATCTCTGTTCAATTGCAGTTGTATCATTATACCAGGTTTCATTATTCCACGGAATCAAATTTTTCATCCTTGCAAGAGTCTGGTAAAGATGAGTAAAAAGACCAATGAGGCAAGAGTAAAACCCAAAGATGCGAAGTATAACAGAGTAAGCAAAGGAGCAGCACAGAGTTGCCGACAGTGCTGTGGAAATGGAAAAATGATAGAAAAGATTCTTTACTGACTTCTGATTTCTTCACAAAACTGTCATTCGTGGTTCCATTAACTGAAGAAAGCCTTCTGTCCATATCTTCAAATTGTACAGCAATCACAGACTGCAGTGCCAAAGAGCAACAATCTGCTTTCAATAAACTAGTGCTGCTTGAACATGGCCTTGTCTGCTCAAGTTCTCTGTAAAGACCAATGGTATAAAACACTTCTGGCATTTGCAACTCAAATCCCAAGAGCTTGTCCTCCGAGAACTGGAAAAGCTGCCAGTCCAAATTGGGAGAGGCATAATTGAGTGAGGCTCAGTTCATGAAGTCAATTGGTCTTGACTGGAGACAAATCAAAAAATCCCCAAGCTCTCTGCTTTGAACTGCTTTCACATGTAGAAAAACAAATGGGACTTGAAACTTACATTCTCCTCCACGCTGCATCGAGAGCCCAGGATGGGTTGACTCCTTCCTATGACTTCATAGCTGAGTCTGTACTAAGAT